ATAGTATTCTGGAGAAGAGAAATAATGAAAACAATGAGACTCTGAGCTTACATTTGGGGGGGGGGGAAACACATAAACTTCAGGTTTCCAGATGGTCTGAGCTTACAAAAAAAAGGGTGGGGGGGGATAATGGGAGTTTCTGTGAAAAGGCACAGATAAAGTGAGCATTTGACTCATTCAGATACTTATCAAATCCAGGATGATCAAGAAATAGCGACAATAAGGAAGCTGGGCTCAGTGGTAGAGCACTTGCCTAGCATGCTCAAGGTCAGAGTGTGATCCTCAGCATTGGAAGGGTGGGAGGAAGGAGAGAAGGAATTAATTAACGGTCACTCAACAGCATTTTTTAGCCTAAGTAATATAGCAGCCCTTAATTCCTACAACAGGTTATGGGCCAGAACACAAAAAGAGGCCTATTTTACCCAGGAAACAAAGAGATCTAAGAATTCAAAGCATTTAGTTTAGCTTTCCCAACTGGCAGTCAAAAAAGGCAAAGCATGGGTATTTTGTGTTGGTTAGTGTTTTTTTGTAAACGATACAAATATAGAATCACCAGAGCAGAGAGCCTAAACTGAGAAAAAGCCCCCCCCCCAAGATCAGCCTATAAGCATGCCTGTAAGGTTTTTTTTGATGATTTATGTGAAAGGGTCAGGCCCAGTGTAGGTGGGACCATCCTTGGGCAGGTGGTCTTGGAGTATATAAGAAAGCAAACAGAATAAGTCTGGAGGAACAAGACAGAATCCTCCATGGGGTCTACTTCAATTCCTGACTCAAGGTTCCTGCATACATTTTTTGTCCTGACTCCCTGTAGTGACGTAAAGACTACAACTATAGATTGAAATAAACTTTCTTCCCAAGTTGCCTTTGGTGATGGTGTTTATCACAGCAAGAGAAATATAAGTAGGGCAGGACAGGACAGTAAGTAGTCTTGTGACTCCTCAAATGTGACTTCCTCCCTAGTCCCTAGTCAACACCCTTTATTTCCTCCAAAGTCAGTATCCAGACCCACTGAAATTATCTGGAAATCTGTATCCTAAACATATTGAATGTCCCTTAAAAGTTTAGGAAAAAAAAAAAAAACTTTGAAGCATCAGCACCTAGCAAAGGGACTAGACTGACATATGGGTTCCACATTTGGATTAACTGGGAATACAAATACCAATTAAACCTGTTTTAATGTCAGAAACTGGCAAGCCCTATTCAATGATCAAACTTAAATTCATGTAATTTCTGGTTGTTTTGTTTTTCAAGACAGGGTTTCTATGTGTTTAAAAGCCTTGGCTCTCCTGAAACTTGTTCTGTAGACCAGGCTGGCCTCAAATTCACAGATCCGCCTGCTTCTGCCTCCCAAGTGCTGGGAGGGGGTTTTGGTTTTTTTGTTTGTTTTTATGGTATAAAGCTATTTAACCCTGTATTTAAGAACCTGGAACTAGGGATTTGGGGGTGGCTCAGTAGTTAAGGACACTTTTTTTTTTCCAGAAGACCCAGGTTCACTTCCTAGCATCAACATGCTGGCTCAGAACCATTCACAAAAGTCCTGATGCTCTCCTGATCTCCTAGGGCACCAGGCATTCACATACTACCCATACATACATGCAGCCAAAACACTCTTACCCATAAAAAAGAAAATGGAACTAGGGCAAGGGCTCTCATCTAGAGGTAAAACACTTAAAAATATAGCAGGCACAAGGTCCTAAATTCAATCCCAACCAAGAAATGGATCCCAAGTGACAGTAACCACCAGAAGCTGACAATTAAACGCTTCAACCGCTAGTTTTTCTCAAAAAGCCAGGGGTTGGACAGATACAGATAACCTTCAACCGCTAGTTTTTCTCAAAAAGCCAAGGGTTGGACAGATACAGATAACCTTCAAATGGTCACCAAAAATAACTTTTCCCTTAAAATTTTAACACATAATTTTCTACAATTTATATGCTAGTGTTCCTTAACCTACTAATCTCAAATTCTATTGTAAGTAAAATTCCTCTCAATAAAATTTGTTGTTCTTTACCCAGGGGTTGGTGGTGCACACCTTTAGTCCCAGCATTTGGGAGGCAGAGGCAGGCGAATCTCTGAGTTCAAGGCCAGCCTGATCTACAGAGCAAGTTAAGTTCCAGGACAGACTCCAAAAAACAATACAGAGAAACCCTGTCTCGAAAAACGAAAAACAAAAAATTTGTTGTTCTTTGATAAGGAAGTTCACTGTGTTACTGTACAGACTGACCTCCCAACTACTGAGATCAGCAGTCCCCCTGCAGTAGCCTCCCAAGTCATCAGGCATGCCCCCCACTGCCCCTTTCCAGGCTAGGGATGTAGCTCAGATCATGCAGGTAGGATGCCAAGGCCCTGGGTACCAACCTTACCACTTACACCAAAACCCAAAAACATTTCTGAAGTGAACTCAGTGAAAACTCATGTAGGACTTATTTCACTGTCTCAGATGAACTATATATTTACATGTTGGATGTCTAAGCTTTAAAACATGAAGGGAAGAAGCACTACCTCCAAGATCAGTGTTCATACTCTTGGGAATAATTTTACCTTCATTATCCATATGGTTTACTTAGAATATTTACTGAGTCATGGATAAACGTCAAGGAGAGATGGTCAACTGTAGAAACTCTACATCTGTTGACACTGAACAATTTCTCCAATAAAGCAAGTAAATCACATACAACTTATTAAGTTTAAAAATAAATTAACTTTAGGGATGGATACGTAGTTTGCCTGCAGAGTGCTGCTTGTTTAGCAGGTACCAGGCCCAGCACTATCAAAACACTAGGAGGAAAGGCGGTGCTACTCTGTTTTCTATCCCTTTCATGTATGCATGAGTGTGTGGGTGTGTGCACATGCATACACGTGTGAATGTGGTTGTGCCAGTTTCGTGTAGTTCCAGAAGCAATCTCAAATGTCAATCCTTGCTTTCTACCACGTAGATTTCACTATATTTACTCATTCATTTATTATTTTCAGGGGACTCACACTACTTAACTGTAGGGCAGAGCACAACTTGCTGGAGTTGATTCTGTCCTATCATGTGAGTTCCTGTGATCAAACTCAGGCAAACACCTTTATCAGTGGAGCCATCTTCACTGGACCCTTTCTCCCCTTTAAGACAAGGCCTTTCTTTGTTCATTGCTGCACACACCAGGCCACTTGATTCAGGAGCATCAGAATCACAGAGGGTATGGCTCTATGAGCACTCTGGTCATCCAAACTGAGATCCTCCACTAGCACAGCCAGCACCTTACTCTAAGCCATCTTCCAGCCCCTATTAGCTGTATTGTAGCTCTAATGCTTATGAAACAAGCATTCCTTCTTTTTAAGTCTATGTATTACTACATGCTACATTGTAATACTGTAGTGTATACACAGGTTACGTCCCAGTAGTGCAGTATACTAACAGGCTGCAATCTTTCCACCTTATTTTTCATATAGGCTATAAATTTCATACTTGGCTTAAAGAGATGAAAATTCAAACCCTTCAAAAATATTAAGGGAAGGGCTAAGAGCACTGGCTGCTCTTCTGAGATCCTGAGTTCAATTCCCAACAACCACATGGTGGCTCACAACCATTTGGTAATGAAATCTGGTGCCCTCTTCTGGCCTACAGGAATACATGAAGGCAGAACACTGTACATACAAGAAATAAATAAATCTTTTTAAAAATATAAGGGAATTAGTATTTAAAAGGGAATTATAAGATTCAAAATTCTTTTTAGATTTTAATTACTACAAACTTTCAGCACATCTTAAAATTCTGAAAACATGCTGAATTAAAACTAGCTTACAGATTTGAAAGAGCTGTTATACATTAATTGCATATATAAAGAGGTAATTTCTATTTCTGAAAAGCAGTTAAACATATTGGTAAGTACTGTATTCCAAAGATTCATTTCAAAAGGAACTCATCTTTGGACACAGTGTGAAAAACCACATAAAGTCACTTCCATCTTTTAAACTTCCAAGCTAAGTCTGGTAGCACATCCTGTCATCTCAATACTGGGGAGGCAAAGGAGTAGCAAGCAATTCAAGAAAAGGCCTCAGAAAAAAGAAAAAGAAAAAAAAAAAAAAAAAAAAAAAAAACTCAGATTCAAGAACTGCCCAGGCTATACAGTGTATTTGAGGCCTACCAGATGATAATCTTTTCTCTAAATAAACCCACCTAATCACTACTCACATTTCAAGAGTTACTGCAGTAGAGCTGCAAGCATCAGACGTGTTATCTTTAAAACTGATGTTAATAAAGGTTATTAAAACTTAGAAAAATTAGGGCATTGAAAAAAACAAAACCACACTAGGAAGACTGCACCAGTAAACCAGGAAGAAAAGTCAAAGAACCATGTTCAAGAATGTGATAAACACAAGAACACTGTTCTGTAAAGGTCTACAGAATACCCACCCCCTCTCCACTCCTACTCTTTCCTCCGAAGGCTCCAGGGAAAACAACTGACTGGACAAGTCTAACTATAAGGCAAAAGACCTAGAGAAGACATGTCAAGAAGACATCCTAAAGCTGTCAGTAACCCTAACATTTGGGAGGTAGAGGTAGGAGGATCCAGAGAGAGTTCAGAAATCAAAAAGAAGCAATCCTAGCAGGGTATGGTGGCACACAAATTTAATCCCAGCACTCTGGAGGTAAAGGCAGAACGATCTCTGTTGAGTTCAAGGCCAGCCTGATCAACAGAGTTCCAGGACAGACAGGACTATGTAGAAAGAGAGACCCTGCCTCAATGAGGGAGAGAGGGAGGAAGGGAGAGAGAGGCAATTCTAGGGCTATGGAGAATCCCATCCCTCCCCCAGCAAAACAAAAGCAGGAAAGTGTTAACAATAAGCAGCACAAAAGTACAATCCCAAGCATTTAAAGTGACTGTTTTCCCACTTTTTATGAGAATTCTAAGACTTTTGCTAGTTCGTAAAGAAAGCCTCACTTCTATTCAACAACTTTAAAAAAAAAAAAAAAGTGTTCGCAGCCGTCGCCCCGCCACCGCCTCTCGCTTGCCAAGCTCCAGCCGAAGAAGGGGGGTAAGTACGGAGGTGCTTATATCATGGCTCGTACAAAGCAGACTGCCCGTAAATCCACCAGTGGTAAAGCACCCAGGAAGCAACTGGCTAAAAAGCCGCTCGCAAGAGTGCGCCCTCTACTGGAGGGGTGAAGAAACCTCATCGTTACAGGCCTGGTACTGTGGCACTCCGTGAAATCTGACGCTATCAGAAATCCACTGAACTTCTGATTCGCAAGCTCCCCTTCCAGCGTCTGGTGCAAGAAATTGCTCAGGACTTCAAAACAGATCTGCGCTTCCAGAGTGCAGCTATCGGTGCTTTGCAGGAGGCAAGTGAGGCCCATCTGGTTGGCCTTTTTGAAAATTACCAACCTGTGTGCTATCCATGCCAAACGTGTAACAATTATGCCAAAAGATATCCAGCTAGCACGCCGCATACTCGGAGAACGTGCTTAAGAGTCCACTATGAGGGGAAACATTTCATTCAAAAATTTTTTCCCTCTTCTTCCTGTTATCAGTACTTCTGAATGTTAGATATTTTTTCCATGGGGGTCAAAAGGTACCTAAGTATATGATTGCGAATGGAAAAATAGGGGAAATCAGGTATTGGCAGTTTTTCCATTTTCATTTGTGTGTGAATTTTTAATATAAATGCAAGATGTAAAACATTAATGCAAGCAAAATGTTTCAGTGAACACTTTCAACAGTTCAACTTTATAACAATTATAAATAAACCTGTTAAAATTTTCTGGACAATGCCAGCATTTGGATTTTTTTAAAATAAGTAAATTTCTTCTTGACGGCAACTAAATGGTGTTTGTAGCATTTTTATCATACAGTAGATTCCATCCATTCACTATACTTTTCTAACTGAGTTGTCCTACACGCAAGTACATGTTTTTAATGTTGTCTGTCTTCTGTGCTGTTCCTGTAAGTTTGCTATTAAAATACATTAAACTATAAAAAAACTATGTGCAGGTATATGCATATATGATCATGTAAATGCCAGAGGTCAACTTCAGTGTTGCCCAGGTCTCACACTGGTCTGGAAATTGCGGAGTAGGCTAGAGTGCTTCAGCTAGCCACTTATCTCTGCCTCAACGTGACACCACTCTCAGCTTTACACATGATGCTGGAGAGTGAACCCAAGGCCTTTGTGTGGAAGCACTTTACCAATCCTGCTATCTCCCCAGTCCCCATACTGCAGATAAAACAGTCAAACTGGAGCTGGAGAGGTAGCTTAGTGGTTAAGAGCACTGGCGGCTACTCTTCCAGAACACCAGGTTCAATTTTAAGTACCTACGTGACAGCCTACAATCATCTGTAACTCTAATTCCTGAGGATCCAATGCCCTCTTCGGGACTACTCAGACACCAAGAACACATACTAGATACACACACACACACACACACACACACACACACACACACACACACACACACGAACGAGCAAAACAGTCATAGCATAAAATAAATAAATCTTTAAATAGGTAAGTAAAGGAAATAATCAAATCCAACCTCAAATCCACCAATAAAGAAATTCAAAAGTTATTTAAAGGATCGGTGTTATACGAGACCCTTGAGCTTAATCATTTAAAACCAAAGAAAAATTATCTTAATACAACTTTTTGATTATTTAAGGAAATTCTTACTGAAGTATCCTAAAATTTCTCTAGTGGAGGCATCTATGGCAAAAGCACAAATAATTAAACACAAATACCTACCACTTGCCCTGCCCCGGCCCACACCATCCAAAGTCTTGCTAACTAATTACTTAATTTGACTTTATGGGTGAACCTATGTGACATCCTAGCAATGGCATCTAAATATCAGTACCAGAACCCCTTTAAGGGCCCCCAGGTAATGGGTGTTTCAAGGAAAGAAAAAAAAAAAAAAAAAAAAAAAAATGAAGACAGGACTGCTGCTCCAAGATACAGGCTGAGGAAAAGGGAAAAGGTTTGTTGTAAATATGAGGGAGAAAACAGCCAGAGGCATGCAAAGGATCCACACTGAACAGGGCCATGTGAGGGTCCCCTGAGGAAGGGAGAACAAGGAGCCAAAAGGCTAGGAGTGAGCCAGGTGACAAAGAAAAGACAGCAAGTGGCCAAAGTGGCAGGGTTACATGGGAAGAGCAGCTAGGGGAAGGCGGTGAAGCTCAGGGGCTGGAGAGGATGAAGGTAGGGGACTGGGTGACAAGTGCTGGGAGGAGCCAGGACTCTGTAACAAGTACTGTCGATGCTGAGAGTCAGGAGGCCATCATGCACTTTAATAGGCACCCAGGTTATCCATTTGTCCTGAGTTTGAAACCAAACAAGTCTTTAAACAGATTCTGTGTAAGCAATCTGAAGCCAACTGCTTCTCATGTAGCCCAGTCTAACCTCCAACTTATTATGTAGGTGAAGACAACCCCAAATTTCTGATAGTGTTACCATCCAAGTGCTAGGATTATAGACATGAGCCACCAAGCCATTTGTGCAGAGCTGGAAATCAAATTCAAAACTTCATTCAATGCACTCTACCCACTAAGCTATACTCTCAGCACCTAGAATGTTAGTTAATCAATTTAACAAACAACTCTAATACAGCTTAAGTGCCTAGGGACAAAGTAAGAAAACTCTTGGCCCTTGAAATGAGTATAAAGCATTCCTATGATCCTAGCACTAGGGAAACATAGGCAAGAAATGAGGAGTTGGAAGCCAGCCTAGGCTACAAGAAAGACCCTGTATTTATTTAATAAAAAAAAAAAAAAAAAAAAAAAGGACAAGAGTGAACCTCCCAAAAAAGAGAGTGACTGTTTAGTTTATAAGACTGGTCATTAGTATGATGGATGAGATGAGAGAAGAAATAATAATACAAGGAATCTCTAAAACCAAGAAGGTAATGCAAAATCCTAGACTCCACCACACTATTACTTCTTGGACTTGCCTACATTTTTTTTTAAACAAGCATGGATGGATGGATGGATGATGGATGGATGGATGGATTTTTGAGAATGCTAAAGATTAGCTAGGGTCTGGTCACAACTCAGGCAATAGACTATTTACGAAAAATACCCACAACAGATGGTTTCAACTACCTGGCATCAAAGCACTTCAATTTAAAAAAAAAAACCTATGTAAATGTTGTAGTACCATTAAATTTCAACAAATCCTTCCTATTATCCTTATATGACCCAATCACATAAAATAAGTACTGACAGTCTTAGCTTACACATTTAGAGTAATGCCTCTAAAATAAAAGACACTTTCTCACCATTCTCAGTGACAATACAGAAAAACAAGTTTTCGTTAAGTTTTAGCTTGAACAAAAAGCTCTCCCAGGAATGTAGTCTTTGTTTTGCTTTTCTTACATTTCCTAAAAATATCTCATAATGGGTTTTGTTCCAGAGGGACAGCACCAAGAAGTCTGCCTTCTCAATCTAGTATTTTCTAAGTGAATACTTCCAAAATTACATTTTAATTTTAAATTTTAATTTAAAATTTAGCTTTTAAAACCCAGGACAAAAACAAAGCACACCATACCACCTGTTTTCCTCGTTGTAACTGTAATTAAACAGGTACTGCGCCCCTTTACAGCCAAAGGGCCATCAAATTGTCTTCAAGCTGAACGCTATTAAGGCACGTGACCATTTCCATTAAGAAATCACCTCCCTGGACAGTACCTAACATCCAAGGAACACAAACAGTCCGTGAAAAAACTCACCTTTCTACCACTGTTAAGTTTGGGGAACTAGAACATTTTTTTAATAGAAAATAATTGGGTTTTTTGCTCTCCTTCCCGAATTCTGAAAACTTACTTAAAAACAAGACCCATACCTTTCTGACTCTCAAGACATGTTGTCTAGAGTTTCCACACTGAAACGAAACAAGCTTCCGGGCCACCTCATCACACATGATTTATGAAATATCCAAACTTAGTCTGTCTTTAAAAATAACCACTTTTTTTATGGATGGGTATGTAATAAAATGAAACGTTAAATACAGAGTCCAGATGTTTCAAAGAGACCGCCATTAGCATTTCTTCTTCTCTGTATAAAATCCCTGGATATTTGGGGGGCGAATGGCCTTTTTAAAAGTCAGAATACAAAACTTAAGCCTACCTAAACCTTTTCGGCCTTTCACCAAATCGCAAACTTAGTATTCTCATCACTTCACGACAAAGCCTCCTTTGAAATGGCAAAACTGAGGGCGACAACGGATGAACTAACCGCAATACTAACTCATCTCTCACTCAAACCAAGTTCACTCAAAAAAAGTTACTTCCTAGGTTTTTAAAACAATTTTGCATTGACTTTTTAAAAAATACCCAGCAAAGTAAATTTGCTAATTCTCAACAGCATGTCCTAACTGAAGTTTTACATAAAGTAGATCCGTGAATGTCTCTTAAGTCTTAAAACCTGCAAAACAAATAACCTCAATAGCTGGGAGCGGTGGTAGCTCCGAGTCTTTGGGTCTGCCGAGCTGTCTCAGGCTGGAATTGCAATTGTTGGAGCAAGAAAGCGATGAAGAAATGCAAAGACTGCCAAGATTTCGACAGGAAGAGGGCTTGTGAATAGAAGGAGGAAAAATCCCAGCACTCGGGGTCGGTACCGGCAGGATCTGGGACGCACAGGGCCCCTCTGGAGAGGGCTGACTCCCCACACTTCCCGGGACAAGTTGGGCGCTCCAGGACGCTGGGCTCCCGAGCCAGCGCAGGTACGGCCTCGGCCGGGGCCCACCGGGACCCACCTGGAGTCCGCGCCCCCGCCGCCACCCGCCCGCCCGCCCGCTCGCTCGCACGCACCTCTCGGTCCTTGAGGCCCAGCAGGAGCACCTCCTCCATCAGGGTCAGCCGCGTTTCCTTGGAGTCGCCCTTGTCGTCGTCGTCCTGCTCGTCGCGGCGGCTCTGCGCCTCATCCTCGCCGCTGCCGCCGCCGCCGCCCGCCGCCCTCTCCTTGTCGGCAGCGTTCCGTGAGGCCTCGGTGCGCCGCTGCACCAGGCCCGAGCTCCGCTGGGTCAGCGAGGTCATGGCTCCGGCCGAAGCGCCGCGCCGGACCGACAGGGACGCGGGACCGGCCGGCTCTCGCTCACGGCCCCTGCCCCAGGCGCTTCCGTGTTAATTCTCGGCACGGGGGCGATGTCCGTGGGCTGCGGGGCCGAAGGCAGTCATGAGGAGCCGGGGCTGGACGAAGCCGGCGGCCCGGGAGTCGGCGGCGTACACAAGGCTGCCTTCCGCCCGCGGCCGGGCCCCACACAGCCCAGGATCCCGAGCGGAGGCGGCAGCGGCGGCGGCAGCGGCGGCGGCGCTTCCCAATATGGCGGCGCGCGCTGACGTCAGCGGAGGATGTGGCAGCGCCGGCGCGGGGCGGGGTCGGGGTACCGGAAGCGGTGCGAGCGGGGGGCGTGGCCGGCTACCTCCCACACCGGCGATCGGATCGCGGGGCTCCTGGCCGTCCCAGTGTCTCTCGGGCTGGGGATCTGAAGTCGGGGTCGGTGACGGACCCCACTTTCATCCTCCTTTCCCTTCTCCATCGCGATCCGGTCTGGCGCCAGCGACCAGCAAGGCCTCACCTAGATCCCGGAAGCCGAGGCCACGGGAGGGCGGACCCCGCCGAGCCCTTAGCATCCCTGTCAGTCCTCGGGGGCAGCTCCTGAGCCAATGTGGCCCGGGTCCCCACGACCTACAGGAAAGACTTGACTCTGCCTGTGGGGCTTCCTGGCTTCAAAAGAAGCCATCTACACTCAGGCGTTTAAAAGCGTTCACGTACCGTGTTCTAGCGTGGAGTGCTACGAATTGTGTTTTGTACAACTTTTTTTTTTTTTTCCTGGCTCAAACGGGGGCTGTAAAGTAGCCAAGGCGCAGGAAGCACTGTACAGATAGGACAGCTGACCTTAAGATCCTTTTATGGCGACACTAAACCTCTTGAGTTTCATGCCACGTCTTTGTATCCCTAAATCTATTTCGATGTAATTACTAGGTTAAGTCCTCTTGGCGTGCTTGGCAGTTTGTGCAAACCAAGTTAAAAGGAAAGCTGCCAAACCCGAGAGGGGTTTGAGGGAGCAGAAAGGTGGAACTTGTGAGAAAACATTATCCAGAAATGGGATCGGAGAGCCATCCAGTGTTATTCAAAATAAACACCACAGGTAGTGAGTAAGTGAAGTTTATTAGACAGATTCTTCCCCTCCATATAACTACATTGTCTCAACTCCTAAAAGGACAGTAAGTCCCAGTTGGCCTTTCCACCCACAGCCCCAAGCTACCTTCCCTTTTCCTGCAAAAAAACAGTTTGTCCTCAGCCAGTTTCTCCCATTCACATCATCTTTATCTCTTTGTTCCTTCGCCTCTCTGCCTTTGCCAAATGAATTTAAATGTTTCTTTGTAAAATAACTGATTATTTAACTCATGAGGATAAATCCAAAAGGTACAAAGCTGTGTGTACAGACTGTGCCTGTTTGGCTAGTTGCTCCTCTCCCTGTATCGGTTTTAAAATGAAAAAATGTGAAGCCTCGCTGGGGAGGTAAAGGGCTTGCATACAACTTAGAAACTCTGGGGCAGCAGAGACAGAATCTTCCTGGAGCCTAGCCAAGTGGGCAAGCCCCAGTCAGGAACCTTGTCTCAGAAACAATGTGAGGCCCAAGTTGATGTTTCAGTGTGTAAACTGCTTGCAGGGCTAGCATGAGTACCAAACTTCAAATCCCAGCACTAATGGGCACACACAACAATGCAGTCTTGTAACACCAGCCTTGGAGAGCCTAGAAAGACAGACCCTGGAAGCTTATGAAACTGTAAAGGAGAACACCTGAGGTCACCCTCTGACCTCCACAAGTGACATGGGCAAGGGAAATATATATAGCACACATGTAGGAATGATCACATACCGTTTTTAATTCTTTGTTTTTGTAGTTTGTTTTTTAATTTTCGAAACACAGTTTCTCTTGCCTCTGCCTCCCAAGTGCAAAGGGGTGCACCACCACCACCAGGCCACAATTTTTTTTTTTTTAATGTGATGCCTAAGCACCTTCACCTTGAGTGTGGCCCAAATTTCAGGAAACTTCCAATGAATAAAATGTGGTATAACCTACATGCCTTTTCAAGTCTCAATTGCTTCCCTCCCCCAACAACCACATCTCTCATGTTCTTGTTCTGTTTATTCATATGCCAGTACTTAATCTCCTAATTCAAACTTCATATCCATTTTGCTGCTTTTTTTCTCCTTCGTGTTTGTGGTATTTCTCCACTGATTTTCCTGTGGGCCCCAGAATCACCTCAGTAAGAGAAAAGAAAGAAAAGAAAGAGGAAGGGGAAAAAAGGAAGGGGAAAAGAGAAGATTTAAGAAACAAATATTTATTGCTAATAGGGACAGTGACTTTTTGATTGACTGATTGCTAAATATGGGTCAGGTATGTGTGGTAATCACACACCCCCACCCCAAGGTAAGTCTGCCAATTCTTTATGAGCACCATCTATCGAATTGCAGCCTGGGGAGCCACACCTGTGACTATCTGAGGCTCTAGAATCATGGAGAGTTGATGCCTGTTTGTTACCCTTCCTTCCCCAAATGAGTTTTATTTTGTTCCCAGGCTGGCTTGGAAACTCTCTGTGTAGCCCAGGCTAGCCTCAAACTCACATTCCTCTTCCCTTGGTCTCCCCAGAGCTAGGATTACAGACACACAGCACCACGGCACCTGGCTTCTCAAATGAATTGTTGGAAAATAGGTTACATAACTTCTCAGAAGCTGAACTATACTGATCCCCAGCCCCTCCTTCCTATAGTTAGTTACTATACTAACAAAACTGTGCCAGGAAAGCATTTGCTTCAGCATTGCTTTCTAGGGAATCCAGAGTGAGACGCCGGTCTCGCTGGAGAAAAGGGAGCTCCTAGGAAATTAAGAAATCTGAACTACATAGCACATCCAGCAAATTGCAAGCAAGGACTTTTATTTTCCATTTATTTGGTCATCAAACAAGTATTTATACTTGTTTTCTGTAGGCAGTCATTGTGCCAAGCTGGGGGGGTTTGGTAGTGGGCCAGGAGACACATAGTCACAGTTTTCATGAAAGCTGATGAGTCATGGGTACTAAGTAAGTCAAAACATAATGAAATTGGCCTGGGGGTGTAGTTCATTGTTAGAGAACTTTTTCTTCTTTTTTTCTTTTTGAGAACTTTTTCTTGTTAAGGAGTTATTTATGAGTTTTATGTATATGTCTTTGTCTTTCATCTACATATACCAGCACGACAGAAGAGGGCATCAGATGTCAGGAGACCAGTTATAGGCAGTTGTGAGCTGCCATGTGAGTGCTGGGACTTGAACTCAGGACCTCTGGAAGAGTAGCTAGTGCTCTTACCCACTGAGTCAACACTCAAGTCCATGGTAGAGTACCTACATGTGCAGATACCTGAGTTTGAGGCCAACATGGAAGAAAAAGAAAATGAAACACATTACAGAGATATTACTTGACAACCACCTATGGTGGCTTTAATAAAAAATTATAATGACAAACATTACCAAGATGTAAGGAAACATAAACCTTTATATAGTATTTGCAGGGATTAAAAGATGGAGGCATTTAGGAATGGCTTGTCAGTTTCTCATAGCATTAAACAGGATTCCCACATGATCCAAATCTTCCACTTGTAGGTAAATACCCAAATGCACAAAAACTTACACAAAAGCAAGCATACATGTTCACAGCAGAACTGTTTGTTAAAAAGACAGTGAAGACAACTAAGTTCATCAACTGATGGATGGGTCCATAATGTATAGTGTATCTATACCACAGAATATTGTTAGCTGTAAAAAAGAATAAGGTACTGAAACAGACTATGTCATGGATAACCCTTGAAAACATGCTGTCACAATTACATATTGTGGGACTCTATTTATGTGAAATATCCTGAGTAAGAACATTTGTACAAATAAGTAGTAAATAAATGTTTGCCTAGCATTGACAAAATAGGCAGCAAATGCCTCATGAGTATGGGTTTCTTTTAGGGATGATTTTTTTTTTAAAGTCTTGAAACTGAGGAGGAGACTGACACTATCTGAGGGTGAATCGGGTTGGCTGCCTCAGGGAAAAAGGTTACACCTTTAATACTCTGTAAGTGTGCAGTAGTTTAGCCACAGGCAAGATTGAAAGCAGGCTCAAAGATTCAGGAATGAAAGAGGCCATTAACTTTATTGGAGCATTTTTCCTGACACAAAAGCAACAAGTTCAGCAAGGATCTAAATGCCCATTGTTCTCCAGGGTTCACTGGGTTCACTGACTCTGCCAGTTCCTTCCCACATCAGTGGAAGGGCCACAAGTTCCACAAGAATGGCTCCCTCAGCAAGCAGGAAGTTTCCTCGAGGGAATGGAAGCCCTTGTCCAAATGCCTGGCCTTTGGACAAGGGCTTCCTCTGGGGAGCAGAGTTACTACAATTTTTGTTTGGCTGTTTTTCAGACAGGGTTTCTCTGAGTAACTGCCCTAGCTGTCCTAGAACTCACTGTAGATGGCTGGCCTCGAACTCAGAGATCTGCCTGCCTCTGCTTCCCGAGTGCTGGGATTAAAGGCATGTGCCACCACCACCCAGCTAAAATTATTGTTTAAAGTATAGCACATACCAGCCAGGCAGTGCTGGTGCTCTCCTTTAATCCCAGCACTCGGGGGGCAGAGGCAGGTGAATCTCTGAGCTCGAGGCCAGCCTGATCTACAGAGCTAGTTCCAAGACAGCTAGGGCTGTTGCACAGAGAAACCCTGTCTTGAAAAACAACAACAGAATAATATACACCATGTTTGGTACTTAGCCTGTAAGAGTACCCAAAAACATGGTTTAAAACTGAAGTGTCTGGGTAAGACAGCAAACCTTCAAGGAATCACACTTCTTGCTCCATTTAAGGATTTACTTCGCATTGAGAATGTGGCACCTGGAGTATAGGGCAATGTTTTACTCTTTTGGCTTTTCAAGGGGCCCTCTGTCCAGCAACCCCAAATAAATCACACATGGAGGCTGATTCTTATTTACCAATGCTCCACCTTAGCTTGGCTT